AGAAGAAGAAGAAGAAGAAGAAGAAGAAGAAGAAGAAGAAGAAGAAGCAGCCATTTTTAATGGACAAAAAAGTTCACTTAAGAAAGAAAATAGGAAGAGAGGAAGGAAAAATGAGAATTCAAGACTTAATAAAACAACCAAGAAAAAGAAAAATAAGGTGAAAAAAAGGTACAATGTTAGAAAGCAACAGAAAAGAGAAATACAACAGAGAGGGGAAGTTAAAAAGGTGAAGGTTAGGAGTGGGGGGCAAAAAGACCAGACTGGAGAAGAAAGGGAGAGGAAAAGGGAAAAAAAGCCATAAAGGCCTGAAACAAGATGTAAAAAAGCAGATTTTTTTCAGAGATAAAGGATAGAGTATTAAGGAAAGATTCTGCAAGAGTACATAAGATAGTATTGTAGTATTTGCATTTGAAATAGTCCATTGGAATATTATAAGATTTAATAAAATATTAAAATGTTTAATAATGATAGATCTCAATACTCAATAAAATATCAAAGAGAATGTGTAAAATGATTAATGTTTAGTTACAGTTTAATTTGTTATTGCTTTAATGTTATTATAAATTTACTATTTCATTTTCTTATTTTAAAATAATGTACTAAGTAGAATTAGAATGGAAATTATATACTTAACTATATTATAAATTTATTATTCCTTTATTTTAAAATGCAACATGTAGAATGTACTAAGCAGAATCAGAATGGAACTTATCTACTATTTCAAGTGTTAATTTAGGGGAAAGATAGAAAAGCGTTACACTTTAAAAGTGATCACAGGGGAAATTTTCTGTTAAAGAGAAGTGATATATAGATAATTGGAAAAGAACGGACAAAAGATACAAGTATAATGATTTTAAAATAAGATGAAATAAATAAAATATAATTAAGAGAGTGAAAAGAAGGGAGAAGTTATATAGAAAATATAGAATGGTAAATAAGATAAGAATGGTATATAAAGTGAGCATGAATTTTATATAGGTCTGTAAAAAAAGATGTAACCCGGGGCTAAGCCACTTTTCAAAAGAAGTTTTATGTTTTATGTTTTGTGTTTTGGTTAGCTATGTTTGATTGAGAATTAATAAAACCTTGGAGGAATAAAAGTAAAGGGAGAAACAATGAGAAATTTGGAAAAGACGTGTATAAATGATAATTAAGGAAGTTTTATGTTGTTATGTCTTGTTTTATGTTTTGTATTTTGTGTGTTTATGTCTGATTGAGAATTAATAAAACTTTGATAGAAAGAAATATAATTGAATAATATACGTGCTTAAATGGAAATGTGATAATATGGAACTATGTCTTAAAAATAATGTTTTATTTGTCTTGTTAAAACTTATAAGTAATTTTTAGAAAGGAGGTTTTATGCCTTTATGTCTTATGTTTTGTTTGTCTTTAAAAAATCAATAAAATTTGTTTAAAAAAAAATTTCTAATTCTCTTTTTAATTTTACTAAATATTCTTTATCTCTCAGAATTTGTGGGTTCAACCTCCATCTCCCTCTTTGTTTTAATTGGCCTTTCCATGTTACTATTAGGGGATTATGATCTGCCCATATATTTGGTACTATTTCTATTTGCACTATGTCTTTCATTAGAGTTTTGCTTATCTATGCCATATCAATTCTGGACCATGATTTATGGGGAATAGAATAAAAGGTGAACTGTTTTTCTTTTAGGTTATATATTCTCCATATATCTATTAAATTTTGTTCTTCTGCCATATTAAAAAATGTTTTTGGAAGAGTGTTCTTTTTTTTCTTTTTTTTACTCGTGCTTTGATAGTCTTTTTTTATGTCCGTGACTGTGTTAAAATCTCCTATCATACAAATATTTTCTTTACCTAATTCTGAAATTTTTTCATTTATTTTTTTATAGTAAGTATCTTGTTTATTAGGGGCATAGATTGCAATGAGTAAGAATTTTCTCTGTTCCCATACAACTTCTACAACTTCTCCCCACTGAATCTGCATATGGTACTTCTGTCTCTATTCCTTGTCCAACATAAATTGCTACCCCTCTTTTTTTTCTTGGGCTAGTGCTGTATAAAGTTTTCCTAATTTATTATATTGTAAATATTTTTATCCTGAGTTCTAATGTGTACCTCCTGTAGGCGGTACACATTTTTTGTTTTGCCAATTTCTTAAAAGTTTGGTTCCGTTTCGATGGAAAATTAAGTCCTTTTATATTTATTGACAGTATTTTCAAATTGTTTTCCATTTTCCTTCTTTGCTGCTATTAACTAGTTCCTGTTGTTCCTGTTTGTGCCCTTGTTCTTACTCTGTTCTCTTCTTGTGGTCTTTCTTCTTTTTTCTTTTCCTCTTCTTCCTGCTCTTTTCCATTCTTTTCCAATTGTTGGTCAGCTTGGCTGGCCGATTCCAGTTCTTCTCTGTTACTACCGAGTTCTTCTGTGCCTATCAGTTTGGTGTAGAAATGTTGTGCTTTCTCCAAAGTATCTGTCTTAATCTTCTTCCCTTGCCATGACACCAACATTCAGGAGATTTTCAAGAAGAAACTGGACAGCCATTTGTCTGGAATAGTATAGGGTCTTCTGCTTGTACAATATGCATCACATACTTCAGAAACTTAAATATTAGTGTAGTGTGTGTGTGTGTGTATGTGCATGTGCATGTATATATATGTATGTATGAGTATTTACTATTAATGTTTCATCTTTTGAGTTTTTTGAAATGGAAAGTGACCTAATGATAGAGTTTTGCTTTTGAAAATATGCCTGTGCAAATGTATGTGTGTGAATTACTGTATATTTCTGCAATGTTCAAAATTATAATTAAATAAAATTTTTATTTTTCATATTCCAGATCATTCATCTTTCCTTTCTTAATCCGTGGAGGAAAATCAACACCATTTTTTGTATTTGTGTCAGCATTTATATTCTGTTTATATAATGGGTATTTGCAAGGCCGAAGTTTAACTAATTATGCAGAATATTCATCCAACTGGCTAACAGAACCACGTTTCATTCTTGGTGAGCCAATTCAAGTAATACGTGTATGTCAGACTCAACAATTGATCTTTGTTTCTTATACTGAATGGCTTAAGCTATGCTTTTTTTCTTTTGCTCAAGCTGACATAGTACCTTCTTGAGAAATGAATTCCCACTTACTACTGTACTGAAGCAGAAGTCTTGCAGAAAGAAGTGATTCATTATTTTTTTAGCTATTTAAGTAAACAGAACATGTAGTCGCAACATATTTTTCCCAGTGTTATTTCTTTTTGTGTTTCTGACCCACTCAAAATGACTTACATGGTGGCACTGTATCTTAATTTTATCTCTAAAACAACCACTGAGGTAGGCTTTGTTGAACGAGAACAACTAATCTAAGAAATCCAGTGAGCAAAGAGATGGTAAGAGTGGGCAAGCAGTTGTATCTCTTAGCTACTATCTAGTGGAAGTTAGCATTGTTTATGAAGAAGCAACAAGTAGATCAGTGCTGCTGAAATGTTGAGAATAGAGGTGGTATTCAGCAGGTTCTGACCAGTTCTGGAGAACCGGTAGCAGAAATTGTGAATAGTTCGGAGAACCAGTAAATACCACCTCTGACTGGAGATTTTACAGTATCCTTCCCCTGCCATGCCCACCAAGCCACACCCACAGAACCGGTAGTAAAAAAATTTGAATCCTGCCACTGGTTAAGAAGTGCATTTAGTTGGGAAAATCAGTATGGCAATTCTAATCTACAGGGAGTCCTTGCTTAAGGACCACAGACAGAACCAACAACTCTGTGGTTAAGTGATATGGTCATTAAGAGGGACATCACATGAGTGTGACTTGCAATTTTACTATAGGCTACTTTTAATCTGCTTGTTGGAAGCTGGCTTGTTAGAACTGCGCAAATGGTGATCACGTGAGTACGGTATGCTACAATGATTGCAAACACCTGCTGGTTCCAAAGTACCTGAATTTCAATCATGCGACTACAGGGATATTGTGAAATGAAAGATGAAAGGACTGATCATAAAAGCTTTTTTCCAGTGTCATAATAACTTTGATCATTGCAAATCTGGGCCGCCATTCAGAAATAGAAGTATGTATTGGCCAAGGGTGATTGGACACAACGATAATGTTGCAGGATCCAATATGTGCTGTCAAAAATCATACTCTAGGCTAGAACAACAACTGTTAAATCATAATGTACTAGTAGGAGAAGGCAATAGGAAAGATGAGAGTTAAGAGAGGTGAGAAGATAAGAAGGAGGATCATGAGAAGGGAGGATTACTGGTATTGAAAAGATAATGTGAATGGAGAAAACAAGGAAGCAAAGCTTTCTTGGAAGCAACAATCATTGGGACCTCTTGCCAAGCATGTAGTACTACAATTCAGAGACAACTCCTCTCAATTATATATATATTAAACAAGTCTGGGCAAGTGTCTGTTTCAGGACTTTGGTTTAAGTTGCTCAGGGAACCAGACCAGTATAAAAAGGGGAAGGAAAGGGCTGCAGAAGCTAAAGTTTCCATCTCCAGATTGTAGTACATACCTAAAGCAAAGCTTTAGATGGCGATTTGCACTGTTTTCTGTGCATGTTATGTGCTTGTTATGAAAAAGAACCTCACTACAGAAATCTGCCTTTTTTATGTCTCTGCCAAACTGCATGGGAAAACAAGCAAATGGCTCCAGTCTCATCAATATCTGGCAGGATTGGATGAAATTTTCATATCATCAATTCTGAGTTACTCATAATCAGTTTTGATTCTTAATTGAACCAGAATTTAGAACTGCATAGGAGCATTGTATACAGAACTGTCCTCAGCCTGGGTCTTCAATCAGATTGAATAGAGCCAATACAACCATTCATTTAGTGACAACCATTGCAGCATCTTCATGATGACATCATCAAAATTCAGGTGCTTGGTAACTGGCTCATATTTATGATGGCTACAGTCTCCCTGGGTCATGTGATCCCCTTTGTGACTTGACAAGTAAAGTCAATGGGGAAGCCAGATTCACTTAACAACCATGTCACTCACTTAACAACTGCAGTGTTTCTCTTAACAACTGTGGCAAGAAACATCATAAAATGAGGCAAAACTCACCAACAACTGTTTATCAATGGAAATTTTGGGCTTAATTCATTGAACCATTTTCTCAAGCATATATACAACTTGACTACTTACATTATTTTTTTTTTAAATAAATCCTACATTTCAGTTCATTGCTTTAATATGTTTATTCCAGGGATTGCAGCCTGGCTCGGTGGTCTCCTGATTAACATGCACTCTGATTATATTTTGAGAAACTTAAGAAAACCAGGAGAGACTGTATATAAAATCCCAAGAGGTATGGGTTGCAAATGTTTAATTAAAATTTAAATATGCTGCATTTAAATATTCTAATTATTATTTATTTAATGATTATTC